TTATTTTGTTTTGTTTTGATATGCCCAAATAGGCTGCTCGTGTGCACTAGTTTGATTTTTGGCACCTTTTGATCTCTAATGTCCTGTCACCAGGTAGTCAGTTCTGTAACTAAGTATGTGCACACAAGAGTCCATTAAATTTTCGTATATGGGATCAGCTCGGGTGTTCAGGCAGTCGGTCACCTAGTGTGTGATGCAGGCTTTCACCCCCAGTTCTAGAGAGGCATGGGTAATTGGTGCAGGCACTGGACTCTGGCTGTGGTAGGGGATCACGCGCTGAGCCAGGCAGGGAGCTTACGGCTGCCCCTTAGAGTCTGAAAGGAAAGCATGTCCCTATTCTCTAGGGTGAGTAGGTAGGTGAGTTTTGTACCCGGGCTAAGAGCACCCCACTCTGTTGGCTGTAAAGACTCAAGGGCACCACTTTTTCTTGAACTCCTGTAGCAGGTGACTAGGCACTTTAGGTGCTACCACCAGTCCTCAAGACCCTGCTGCAGATTGATAAAAGTGCTTATTTAAGGGGGAGGGCTGTTTCAAGGGTCACAAATCTGCCCATTGACAGTTGAAGCAGTTGAAGTTAAACTTCAGCTGTGTGCCCTGTAGTACTGTGGCAGTGAGGGCTAACACTGTTGAGATGGGTCCCCACAAATCTATACAGGGGTGTAAGGCACTCAGAGTCTGCGGACCCCTGATTTCTGTGGCCAGCAAAGGAGCTGTGCTGACCCTGTGTTCCTGGTTTAGGGGAGCCAGCAGTTTATTTGTTCCCTCTCCAAGGCCAGGAGAATGGGTCAGGGTGCCTTTTGGGATCTACTTCTGGCGCAGGGGACTCCCGGTGGAGAACGCAGAGGGAGGAGGTAAAAGGGAGAGAGGTTTTTCCCAAATCCGGTGCAGAGCGTGGAGGGAGGAGGTAAAAGGGAGAGAGGATTTTCCGAAATGGGCTTTTTTTTTAATTGCTGTGAAAGGGTGCGCACATGTACTTATCCTAGCCTCTTGGGAGCTGCTCTTCTCTGGTTCGGAGTGTCCAAGCAGAATCTCTGCTGCCAGGTCTCTCTCGAAGTGGAAACTGCTTCCCGAGTGCATGCACAGCAGAGCTGTTTGCCTGCTTCACTGCGGACTGGCGGGGGTGTGTCTCTGGAGTTTCGCCACTGCGGCTCTAGCCCTCTTCATTGCTTCCAAAGGGTCTTCCCCTCCCCTATGACTCAGATGGATTTCTTAACCTTGCCTTGTTCAGGGCTGCCAGATGTTCACATAGAATCAAATCACTTGTTTTTCCAGGTCTTTGTTGTAAGAGGGATATAGGAAGCATCTAACTACTCCGCCATGTTGACCATGCCTCTGCTATGAATCACTTTCTGACCTTCTTTTTTTGCTTTGTGCTGCAAAGATGTCTTATGTATCTCAGTTCACGGATGAACAACCCCCGCAACCCACATACACCTCAGACAAACGTTTTTGTCTGTGTATTCTCTGTCTGTGTCACTGTACACAATGTTAAGCCTTGTCGGTTTGTCTCTTTGCTGTTTATATCCTTATCATTGCCATTTTCATTCCAGTGCCCTTTCAATTTTTTTTGGTTTTTATCAATTTCATTCTTCTCCTCTGGTAAAATGTTTATTCTAAAACAGGTCCACAAACCATTTGTAGCTCTGCTTGGATACAGTTAAACATTTCATTGAATGTATTAAGGCTATATTCCTTTAGTATCTACAGGTTCCTCTTTCTAGTCTCTTTGTAAGCAAGAGCAACATTTGGATGCAAAAATGTCATCAAAAAAAGTCATGTGCCTGGGTCACAACTGTCACAACTATAGTCTACTCAATCTACCATCTGTCTCTGAGGGTTGACTCAAGGAGCAATTTGTGGGTAGGCATGATTGTTGCCTCCTAAGGTAATTTAAGAGGGTAGAAGTCAATGTCAAACATAACTAATTTTCCTTTTAAATCCACTTTGGAGGCAACGTTTGATAAATTGTCTAATTCTCTTTTGATGTTTGTCCCTTTCTGCCTCTGTCAGTTCTCAGGGTTATGAACTACACGTGTATATAAATCAGAATTTATTTTTATTGTTTCTACCATTACTTTCAGTGTGGCATTTGTGGTTCAATGGTAGAACTCTCACCGTCCGTGTGGGAGACCCAGTTTGATCCCCAGACAACGCACCTCATATGCAGCCACCACCTATCTGTCAGTGGAGTTGTGTGTTGCTATGATACTGAACAGGTTTCAGGGATGCTTGCAGGCTAAGGTGGACGAGGAAGAAAGACTTGCTGATCTACTTCAGAAAAATTAGCTCATGAAAATCCTGTGGATCACAATGGAGCATTGTCTGATCAGCAACTGATCGTGAAGATGGTGCAAAACTGGGCTGTTTTCTTTCCCTGGTGCATAGGGTCACCAGGATTTGGGGCCAACTCGGTGGCAGCTAATACCACCACCATTATTTTCTTTGAGTTCAAAGTTCCAGAATTTGATGGAGAAACAAATATTGGCTTACTTTATCCATGCTGACTCCAATTTTATAGTCTTGGGTTTCTTCCTCTACTTTTCGTCCTTTAGGACAAAATAATTGTAACCTATTTTCCTAACCCCTGAGTTGCCCTTCCCTGTATTTTTCTTAGCTCAGGGGTTGCTTTGTTGAGTACATGACCAAAACTCTATGCGTTTACCTTATCCCTGCATATATGAGTGCATCACAACATTTTCTGTTTATTTCTCATATTCTTTCTCCTGATATTGCTGAACTTTTGGCTGTGATTGCATTTCAGATCCATGTCTTCAGTTGTTAGACATGACAGAGGCCATAATCTTTGGACGTGCTGTGTGGGCCATGTCTTTGAGGAGACTTAGTTGTAGAGATAATCCAAAATAGCTGCCAATGCTGAAATCATGATTTGGTAATGACTATGTAGTGTATCCTGTACATATATATACAATTTACATATGCATATAGGATGATTTAACTGGGCAAACTCTAATGAATTAAAAATTGGTTTGGATTACTTGAGCATACAAGATTTGATGGAAGGAAAGAATGATTGGGTAAAAAGACTTTGTTGGATGATAGGGAAAAACCAGTCTGGGATTAAATGATTGCTGTAGATAATCCCCAAAATGAATTAATCCAAGTGAATTAATCTAACAAGCATAATCAGCGTTGAGGATAACTGTGTTATCTCCAGATTTCAAAAGGAGAGTCAAGAAGCCAACATCTAGTGAAGAGTTACAAAAATGTAATTAAAAAGGAAACTGGTTTTTCTAGGGAAAAACAAAAAGGCTTGATTTTAGTTTTCTTCTCTTTCTCTTGCCTTCCTTCTCTCCCTCTTCCTCATTCTCTCTCCCTCTCCCTTCACACTTCCTTCATCTATCCTTTCTTCCTTCCCTCTTCCCTCCTTCCTTCATTCTTTTTTCTTTCTTTCTCTCTTCTTTCCTTTCTCTCACCTAGCTGTATCTTCTAAGTTTCCATAACATTCTGCTATAGCTTAACTATTGAAGTACTTACTTCTTACCTCAGATCTCTGTCTTCTCATTGGACAGTAAGCAACTTGAGGGAAATATCTGCATCTCATTCATGTGGTCCCCATTGTGCCTTACAGGTCATTGATCTTCAATAAATGTAAATGTATGTATTTTATAATTAAGGAAGAGTGACTTGGTAACTTTAACAATATGAAGTGTTATGATGTGAAATGTGCTACATAATTATTCTTTGGAAACAAGCCGCCATTAGAATAATCTGGTGGGTTTTCAGGCAGAAGATAAAAACATATTTTCTAGACTGTAAAGGTAATAAAATACTACAATAGATAACCAGGGAAGGAGGTGAAATCTCCATCCCTGGAAATTTTTAAAAAATTGGGCAGAGAAAACATCTGTGAGAATCGTTTAGGCATCAAACCTGTCTTAAGGCATGTAAATGGAGAGAATGACAAATGGTTCTCTGATTATTTGAGTACTTAGCCCGGGGAAGAGAAGACCAAGAGGGAGGCATTAAAACTGCTTCCAATATGGAAAGCAGCTGTAATTGCTTTCCATAGAATATGGAAAGTAAGTTGAATAAGCTTAACTCAAAGTCTTAGAAATTTAAGTTCCATTCTATAATTAAGGATTTTAAATCATAGGTTGTGAAAATCTGAAAAACACAAATATTGATCTTTGTGAGATGTGGAAATTCAGTTCTGTGATTCTGTTGCAGCCTAGTTTGTGCAGTAGTCTGAGTAGGCAGAATTATTCCAATACATAATATTCACTGGATAGCATTCTTTTGGGAAAGTAAGATTTCTGCAAGTTTTATTTTAAAGCATCGATTATCATCACCTCTTCAAGGATAAGAGGGGAGAACTGAGCTAAAAGATGTGAAGTCCTTCCCTCTAAATACCTCTATGAAACCAAAAACCAAACCCTTTTCTGTTGAGTGGATTTCGACTCATAACAACCCCATAGGATGGAGTAGAGCTGTCCCATAGGATTTCCAAGGATTGACTGGTGTATTCAAGCTACCAACCTTTTGGTTAGTGGCTGAGCTCTTAACCACTGCACCACCAGGGCTCCAAATGACTCTATAATAGAGTTGTATTATTAAATCAGTAGCTGAAGCATTAGGAGAAGTCTGGGACAGAGCTGTCTTCTGCCAGTTCACCTTGTTTTGTCCACTGAACCTTTGCCAGTGAAAATGTAGAAGAATCGAAGGAGTACAAGTCCTATCAATAAAAAGGGAACCAAAATGCCTGTTAAAAAATAATCTCTATTAGCTATTTGATTGTAATTTCAACGTGGAACCACATGATGTCGCAATTGGATTTTGATTTTCAGTGTGTGTTTGTTTCACTAGATGAAGGCGTTTTCAAAGCTGGAGCTGAGAGATCTGAAATGCGAGGGGCAGCAGAAGTCCAAGAAGACGAAGATACTCAGGTCGAGGTTCCAGTTGATCAGGTAATCTCCATACGTTTAAAAAATATGTATAAACCAATTCATACTGGTTTTCTTTCCTTTTAAATTTTGTATTCTCTGCTCAGTGCTGTTCCTATACATGTTTGTTGAACTCTTTCAGGTGCTGTGTGGCTGAATGATCTTAAAAACAAAACAAAACACCCTTCAGTTCTTCCTAGTATTCCTTCAAACAATAGCCATTGGGCTGAGCCCTTTCTTTATCATGGAAAATGGAATACTTTTACTAAACAGCCTTGGAGAGGAGGATGGGATGGAGTTAGGTGTGAGATACAAACAGAGAAAGTTTGATACAATGAGAAGTCTTGGCTTGGGGTTTTTATCTAGAAATAAGTCCTTCATTTAGAAAAGCTTTTTTTGTTTTTAAATAAATGCCATGATAGTCTCTCCTTAAGTATCCTTAAAATTGTGATTGGAATTTATTTTTCATAAGGGAATTGCTTATATGAACGCAATTCAAGTATTTGCTGTATGTGTATTGACTTTCTTAGGCCTGTAGAACAGTGAAATTTTAGCAGTGTGTGTGTGTGTGTGTGTGTGTGTGTGTGTGTGTGTGTGTGTGCTTGCTTATAAAAGGGACTTAACTAAAACCAAACCAAATCCATTGCTATCAAGTCGATTCTGACTCATAGCAACCCTATAAGACAGAGTAGAACTGCCCCATTGGGTTTCCAAGGAGCAGCTGGTGGATTCCAGTTGTCAACATTTTGGTTAGCAGCTGAGCTGTTAACCGCTGCACCGATAGGGCTCCATAAAAGGGACTGAGTGGTGTTAATTCTGGCTAAATGATGCAAAAAAATAAAAGTCAGTTATGCTTCTTAATATAATTCAACAAGGTTTCTTATAGTCCTAAATGGAGGATTGGCATTCAGGTGAGGGGGGATTAAATCATAATCCCAGGCTCATGGGAATAGGAAGAAGTCTGTAGAGATTGCCACTTGTCCTTTATTATGTGATATTTCATTTTCAAAAAGCAAATTCCACAATCCAGTAAATTCCATAGGTGATCTCCTCAGTTGTATTTGTCTTAACAGTGAGGCAGTAAAATTGCTGCTTGAGAATATTCCACAGGCATTTTCTGCAAGCATCACCTTCCTGATGAAAAGCCTAACGTGTTAAAAATCACACAGATTTCAAAAATCAAATTTGTTATCCAGGATTAGCTATAACTAATAATTTTTCATAAACTCTTAGTTATAGGTATTTTTTTTTCCTGAGGGAAAATGGAATTTTAAGTCTTCTGTGAAGCTCTAATTAAATATTATATTTTAGACCAAGAAGAGTAATCATCAAGTATCTATCGCAACTAATAGCCTCAGAAACCAAGATTAATTTGTATTCCAAAGTCAAAATGCCACATACCAAGATAAAATCATAGCATTATTACCAAAAGAGAAACCTCTTTGTTAATTAGTGACTCAACAATTGCAAAATCTGATAGGTGTTTCTTTAGGAATAAGTTTGATGATCACAAGTAAAGCAAGCTGGGAGGGGGAACTGATCTCTGATGATACTTGAACAGCCTTGGATAAGGTGTCTGCAGAGCTTGATTTTTTTATTTAACTTAAGAGTCCTAGCTTATTAAAATGCAACTATGCAAGAGAAGGCGTCCCTGGCTGTTGTAATCAGTTAACACATTTGGCCAATAACTGAAAGGTTGGAGGTTCAAGTCCACCCAGAGGTGCCTTGGAAGAAAGGCCTGGCAATCTACTTCCAAAAAATCAACCATTGAAAATGCTGTGGAGCACAGTTATACTCTGACACACATGGGGTCACCATGAGTAGAACTTGAATGGTAACTGGTAACTGGTATGCAAGAGAGAATGATTAAACGAACTGGTGAAAGCTGGGCAATATCAACAAATCTATGTCAGCTGGAAGGAAATAAAACCAGGTAGCAAAAGATCAGAATTACTTTCCTCTTTTACTCTAATGGTAATAGAGTGGGGATTGTCTAGTTCATTTGGTTGGCACGAGGTACTGAATATGAGGTCGGGTTTTGCGGTAATTGTCTCTAAGGTCTGGTGACTTTTGTTCTGTATCCTAAACAGTTATGTTATAAATGCGGTGAAAAATTAAGTGAGAATGTGGAGAAATTAGTGTAAAACCCATTGGCTGGCTCCATTATAGTAAGCACAATTCCAAGGACATGCCCTAATGATGATGTTCATTAAACGATCGTTGTTAATTGCTGTTGAGTTGGCTCCAACTCATGGCAACCTGTGTGTGACCAAAGAAAACATTGCCACGTCCTGCCTTAACTTCATGATCGTTGGTATGTTTGAGTCCATTGTTGCAGCCATTGTATCAATCTGTCTCATTGACGGTTTCTCTTATTTTTGCTGGCCCTTCAGTTTACCAAACACAGTGTCCTTCTCTAGTGATTGTCTTTTTCTGATTGTGCCCTGCACTATATCAGACAATATTCTATTGTGACTCATAGGGTTTTCATTGGCTAATTTTCAGAAGTAGATCACTAGGCCTTTCTTCCTAGTCTGTCTTAATCTGGATGCTCTGCCAAAACCTGTCCACCGTGGGTAACGCTGCTGGTGTTTGAAATACTGGTGGTATAGTTTCCAGTATCATAGCAACACGCAAGCTACCACAGTACAACAAATTGATAGACGGATAGTGGTTATTAAATAATCCTCCCCAAACCAAACCTATTGCTGTTGAATCGAATTCTGACTTATAGCGACCCTATAGGAGAGAGCAGAACTGCCCCATAGGGCTTCCAAGGCTGTAAATCTTTATGGAAGCAGACTGCCACATCTTTCTCCCACAGAACTTCTGGTGGGTTTGAACAGCTGACCTTTTGGTTAGCAGCCAAGCACTTAACCACTGCAGCACTAGGGCTCCTTTATTAAATAATCACTGCCATTTATTAAGTACCTGCCAAGTGCCAGGCACTGTAGTAGGCATTTTTATCTCACATAATTGTGATGACAACCCTGTAAGATAGGTCTTATCCCCATTTTATATAAAGAAAGAAAACCAGCTTATATAGGTGAAATCACTTGGCTGTGGTTACACAGCTAAGGAGTTGGGATTTGAATTTAAATCTGTCTAACTTCGAAGCAGAGGAGTGATCTGGGGGAAAAGTATGTAATGGGAAAACAGAGGCCAATTATTAACCCAGGGAAGGAAAAAATTCCTGCATAAGAAAGGAAATTTAGCCATAGTATACTACTTGGCTCAGCTTAAATAATATACATTCCCTGTCAGTCCATACCTAGTTAAATTCTTCAGACTTGTTTCCCTTCATCCAAATGGTTCATGTTGTCTCCACCAGACTGAGTCCAGCACAACTAGATGGTGCCCGGCTACCACTGCTGACTACTCAGACAGGGATCACAACAGAGGGTCCCGGACAGAGCTGGAGAAAAATGTAGAGCACAATTATAACTCACAAAAAAAGACCATATTTACTGGCCTGACAGACTCGAGAAACCCCGAGAGCATGGCCCCCGGACACCCTTTTAGCTCAGTAATGAAGTCACTTCTGAGGTTCACCCTTCAGCCAAAAATTAGACAGGCCCATAAAACAAAACGAGACTAAAGGGGCACACCAGCCCAGGGGCAAGGTCTAGAATGCAGGAGGGGACAGGAAAGCTGGTAATAGCGAACTCAAGTTCAAGAAGGGAGAGTATTGACGTATCATGGGATTGGTAACCAGTGTCACAAAATAATACATGTACCAATTGTTTAATGAGAAGCTAGTTTGTTCTGTAAACCTTCATCTAAAGTACAATAAAATAAATAAATAAAATTAAATGATTCATGTTGTAATTTTAGTCAAAGGGCCATGAAGAAGGGAAGGGGGTGTGTGTGTGTGTGGTGTGTGTGTACAAATATCATGTGCAAATGGCCAAGTAATTTATCTATACCAGAAAATCTTAGCAACTTTTAGAAGTAGGTATCGAGGCCTCTGTTGGGAGACAATTCTCCATGGATCTCCTTTGTTTCTGCAGATCTTGTGAGCAGAGGCACTGACTGCCTTTGTTCCACATTATTGTTTTCAAGAATGTTTGTATGGTAAAACAGCCTTGGAAGACAAAGATAGTGGCTTCCTCTGGAGCAGTTGTTCTCAACTGGGAGCAAGTTAGCCTCCAAGGGGACATTTGGCAATTTCTGGGGACATTTTTGGTTGTCATAACTGGGAAAGTGCTACTGGCATCTAGTGGGTAATGACAAGGGATGCTGATAAATATCTTATAATGCACACTACAGCTCCCCATAAAGAATCCAGCCCAACATGCCAACAGTACTGAGACTGAGAAACACTGCTCTGGAGCAAAGGCCAGGTTTGTTTAATGTCCAGTATAATAAAGATAATGTCTCTCTATGATGCAAATGCAAGTTGGGTTTACTGCCCATTATAAAAGATTTGGATTACCTGAGCTTGGGGCGGTTCCTCCAAAATGCAAGCCACTGTGTGTGCAGGTATTACCTAGCCCTCTTCCATTGTACTGTGGAAACTGGGCCTTGGGGAATGGGTGCAAGTGTCGAGACTCTGGCTACTACTATTGCTGTGCATAATAAAGTCCTTTGTCTCTGACCCAGGAGTCTTGTGTCTTCTGCCAGCATCCATGAAACTGTGGCAGGCTAATGTGTAAGTTTGCAAGTAGGGTAAAATTCCAGACCTTCTACAGTTCTTGATAGCCTCTACTGGTACCATCTAGCATGCGTGTTTGTGTGTGTGTGGAATGAGGCATTGTGGACTAACTATAGCTAAGAAAGAGTCTGAGCTCTCCCCCAAGGTCCAGACTCTTTTCATGAGTTAGAGACAAGTTATTTATGATGGACCTAATGCTACTCCCAAACCCATGGGGAAACTGAAGAATGCTCATACTCTTTTATGTACTTGGGGAGGCCCAAAAAAAAAAACAAATGCCTTTTCTTAGGTAACAGTTTAAGAGAATAAGATACTTTTAAAAATTGTTTTTTTTTTCCAAGTACAGTCCAAATCAATCTGGGGTTGGCCA